AGGACAAAAGAAAACCAAGTCTTCATCTTACCAGAGAGTTATCCTTGAAGAGGAGATTCTCAGGCTTGAGGTCTCTATGTGCAATGTTTAGTGAGTGGCAATGCTGCAAAGCCAAAGCTATCTGAAAAAGGGCACAATAAATCAACCACAATTACAGAACTCCTCCTTTAGCCTGGATGGTCATTTTAGCTTTAAAAAAAAGGACATTGCATACATAGCTTAGAACCCAAATGTTTCACACTGCACTTGGGTACAATTCTGAGTTAAGACAAGCCTGGCTACACTGCACAACAGTGCAGCAGAGCCATGATTGGGAAATGAAACCCATCACTCAAAGCAAGCAGAAAACAAAAGCTAAGTTGTACTGGGCTTCCCAACCATCTCAGTTGGAATAACTTGGGGTATTATTAACCCCCCAGAAGTGAAACAGATCATGACACTGTCCTTTTATATGCTGTGGTGGGCCTACAAGGTCACTACACTTGTTCGCACGCTCTCCAGCAATTACATCCTGTTTGACAGTGAGCAGCAAGTTCCTGCTTCAATATTTCAGTGAGTATTTTATCACATTTGTTACTGACTTAAGAGTCAACATTCAGGCAGTTTTAATCTTTAATTCCTGATGGTACTGCCTGGAATCTACTCATTTTGTGGGATATTACATGGAAATGCATTACTTGATTCTTTCAAAGACAGCTTCTTACACTGCTGTGGTTTAGAAACCTGTAACCCAGCCATGAAAGCTCTACAGACTGTGCATTTAAAGTGCAATTCATTTAAAGACACAGCATAAATACTTAAACAGCATTACTGAAAGTAAGGCAACGCCACACAACCCTTATTTGAAAGTGTTCCTGTTTGCTTCTGTAGGATCCTACCAAACACAGAGCTCTGGGTGAAGTGCTGAGCCCTTAGACTGCAAACTACCATGAGATGAGAACTTCACTGTTCACTTAGCTCAGAACCAAACACAAACACATTCCCAGGGAAAAGGAGGTAGCTTTGAGACAAGTTTTTAAACTACTACTTGGTACAAGGAACTAAGACCCAGTTCAAGACAATGATGGACCACCACCAGATGAAAGAGCAAGACTTTAACATTGCTTTCAAACTTCATTTGTATAAATATTAATGCAAAGAGTTATTTGGGATGTGAATAACCCAAGTGTACACACAGTCAGAATTCAACTCAAAGTCTTGCCTTTTGGTATAGTTATAGGAGATTTTCCCAACATGTTAATCCTGGAGACTGCATTGTCAAAATCAAACAGCCCAAACAACATGAAAACAAACTGTCAAGAGTAATTCTGTACTTCCACCTTGTTTCTTTGTTGGATGACACCAGAAAGGGAACAGCATAATTAGTATTTCATTAGAAACCAGTCAAAGCACAAGACAGAAAAGCTCTTTTTTCGCCTCAGTACCAAAGATTATGCCCCCAGCACAGGAAGAAGCAGGTTGATCAGGCTGTGGATATATTCATAAAGTCACATCAATTTACAACAAATGCTGTAATATCTTGTCTCACATTTTCTTTCCTTTATTCGCTGCAGTGATCACTAGTGTGGGAGCGAGACATTTACTGATTGCTATCTCCAGAACAGCTTCTCACCTACAGTTCATGTATCTTGTGTCTGGAATGTCAATGTAACCTCTGCAAGAAGCAAACAACGGCACCTCCACCCCTCAGCTTCCTGCTGTGATGCCAATTCCCATGCAGAAGAGCTGAGCCATTTTGATAGCAAGATCCTTCTGCCTTGTGGTTCCCTACAGCGACCTGCTGGTCCTCTGCTGTAGCTCCCTAGAAAGGCCACCACAACATACAGCCGTCTTTCCTGCAACCCTCCCCTAATCCAAGCTTTCTGACTGCACACCACAAGTCATCCAACAGCTTGGAAGAGAAAGGGAATGAGTTCACTCCAAACTGACACTTGGGATGAATCTCACGGAGGCCCCTCTGCTTCATCATCCTGCCTACACTAGCAGGATATAATCTAGTCACACCAGACACACTGCTAAGCAAGAAAGAGCCCGATGGACACCAAAACCTCTAGTAATAAATCCCATGGAGGCTATAAAATACAACATTCAGAGTGAGCTGTGTAGAGAAATGGAGAGGGAAAAATGACATTGGAACAAACAGCACAGAAAACATGCACTGTAGTGGTACATTCCTCTTGTCTTCTTCCATAAAACCAAATACAGAACCCAGCTTGAAAACCACTGGCCCAGGACACACGTATGTTATTGTCTGCTGCCCAAGAGGTGAGAGAAACACCAGGTCTGTGTCATGGCCAAGAGAGATTCTCAAACTGGAGCTCAGGAGCCGCACGGGGTCTGTGAGAGCTGTTGGAGGTAACACCTTTAAAACAACCAGGTGAGGGATACAGCAGGAAGGTCGTGCACGAGCAGAGCTTTCTCAGGTGAAGGGTTCTGTAGACCAGGTTAGGAAAACCATTGCTAAAGACAGCAGAGACCCCAGGGTCCCCACCCAGAACAACTAGCCCACACTTTCAAATCCTTTGCTTCTATTAAAGCTTTGGCATTGTCAGGTTATAACAAAGCAGGCAATGATCATCGGATCAGAACTGAGGATTATTTTAGCTTCCTTTTTCCCCGCCACCCCTCCTCCCCCAAAAATTGTTAAATACTTTAGCCATTATCATTCATGGATTTGCTTATACATGGGGGTTGACTTGCCTGCTTTGTTACTTGGCTTGCTTGCTTCTCAGTAAAGTGCCGGTGCTGGCTGATTCTGTGAAATAGCTCTCCCCCTTCCATCATCTCCATTACAATTAGGAGCCGAGCCCTGTTCAAAAGCATTTCATTTTGTTATATTAAAAATAATCAAAAAAATAACAGTTGCTAAGCTAATAATGCATACTTCATATCTACTGACGCAGGCCGAAAGAGACATGAATACTCACTTCTCCTACACTTGTCAGGGCTATTCTGGTTCTGTAATTTTGCCTTTAAGCATATAAGCTGCAGGATTTTCTAGCTCCTTGCACAATCTGACTCACTGATTGTCAGCCAGGAATCTACAGCTCCCTCTCCATGATGGGCTCCCACATCCAGCTGGAACAAACACCATGGACACGTCTACATGGATGCATTCAGACAGATATGTGCACGCTCCAATCATGCTTTCCACCAGCGAGCCAGTTTGGACCTGGAAGCCATTTAGACACATCTAAAGAATAATCCAGCAGGTAGAGTCTTGCATTAAACAGGCTGAACAGCTTCCAGGCTGGAGCTGGCTTAGAGCACAGCATATACCTGCCTGCACCCATCCTTGCAGACGTGCCGACCTGCCACACTGGCTGCCTGGGCGCTGGAGACGGTCACGGCAACTTTGAAGCAAAAGGTTGAGGAATTATCTTGAATGCTTTTGAGTCTGGATACTCCATTGTACCTCCCGATTTTAATTTACAGTTTTATTGCCATAATTAGGAAGGATAACGAATAGAAAGTGCGGAGATCAGGGCTGCTAGATCCTCAAGAAACTAACCCCTTGTTCTTCTTGCCACACAGCACAATCAGATACATCAGAGACTAAGACACGTCTCAGCTCTTTAATTCTCCCAGCTCCGATTTTTCTTTCTCAACTAACACCCAATTAGAAGACAGTATTTTGATCCCAAATGATATTAAAGTATGAAAAATAATAAGCCTGCTTCATGTTTTGCTGTGTTCACTTTAAGCAAGACAATGTATTGAGAGTTTACAAGGCAGAACCTAGCATTTTTAGAAACAAGTCTTTCTTTATGTTTTTAATGAAGACTGGCACTCTGAGCTTCCCAGTGGCTCACAGGCATCATCATCATGTAAAAGGATCTCACTTGCTCTAGGCAGCAACAGAACTCACAGCTCCAGTCCTGCTTTAACAGTGTTTTGAAAGCAGAAGGAGGTGCAAAGGTTACAATTCAATTCAGTTCAAGCTCCTAAAGCAGTATCAAAGCAGGACAGAAGCTAGAAGCTAATATACTGTCTCTGACAATGCAGGTATCACACACTGAATCAATGGAACACCTAAAAAAAGAAGATGTATTCAAAACCAGCAGTGAAGGAAGCAAATTCATCTAAATACGCAAAGGTGTGAGCATTGAAAGGGTGAAAAGCAAGTGGTGCTTAGTCTGAAGTACAATATCGTATCTGGAACCCACCATTAGTGTTCATCTTGGTCAAACAAAACCCAAGCAGACTCCACTATACCTTGGCCTAAACATGGAAAGCAAGCTGTGGGGATGAATCACCCTATGTAATCTTACCTTGGGCTGGATTCATGTGGGAACTGCACACTGTTAGCATAAACTTCAATAATTTGAACAATATTGGGATGTGTTGCACACATCATGTGCAGACGTACCTTGAAGAGAAGGGAAGAAACGTTACTGTACACAGTGACATGCACTTGGCCAGTTCTGCTCCTCCCTCTGCCCCCAAGGCTGCAGCACACATGGGCCTGTGTGCTGCTACCTGTGCTCAGCACCACTCACACCCGCTTTAAAGCTATTCACGCCACAAGAAATGCCTACAAGAGTTTATAGGAGTGGCCGACAGCCTTTATGCTGCTTAGAGCAAGTAAGGCAGAAAGATCCTATGTTGCCAACCTATTTGTTACAGACCACGGAACCAAACCCAGCAGAGCTCCAGAAAAAGCCCAATCTTTGATTTCTTTGGGGTTTTAAAATAAATATAAGGCTAGAACTGGCTTTAAAGTAGCAATGCAGATAGGATGGAAACCAAAAATTCATGAGTAAAACCTGGAATTCCATAACCTGGCTCCTTTATGGCCCAATGACCTAGCGCTTGCAACACATGAAAGCACATCTTCTGTTCTGACATTCTGAAACAGGAGATTTCCCCACTTTAAAGCTACCTGGAACTGCTAAATCAAGCTGAGGTTTGATGCTCTTTGGAAACAGAATATTTTAACCTGGGAATTTTAAATGAGAATTTGCTCAGTAACAAGAAGTGGAAGTTGCCTAAACCTTGAGGACAATTAATGCTTCTTTCCTTTTCATGACAACTTCAATGACAGTCATGTCAATGTCACGTCACACCATGTCAACTGACTGACAGTTTGGTACCTTGGCACGCCTCTTGACAGCCACAGTAAGTCACAAAAAGCATCAATGAGCTTCTTTAGGTTCTCACACATGGATAAACCCACACCCTTTAGAGCATAACTTGAAGCATTCTTGGCAATTCTTAGAGTAGTGACATGTACAGAAACAGGAATCATTCTGAACTATTCAGATTACAATGAACGTAGGGAGAACACCAGCTTAATATGCAGCTCTAAAAATGACACTGGTACCTACACAGCTGACACCTACAGCAAACTCTGAAAAACCCCCTTGTTTCACCCACTACCTCATCCTACAGGAGCTGAGCTCAGCGAGGCCAGAGGATCAAACCCAGGGCATCTTGCATGGCAAGATCTGCAGATCAGTGGGGTTTTTCCCTTCTTAAACCACTGCAAGCATTCAGCAAAAGGGCAAGACTTGTGGTGTGTGAGAAGCAGACAGTATAAACAGGAACTATACCTCATTTCTAGCTTTTGGACGATCAAGAAGGATTTTCAGTGCAAAGCGTTCTTGAGAGGATTTTTTCATGCAGACTCTGGTATTACAGCAATAAAATCATTCAGTCAGCAAGAACGTTAAAAAGACACTTCAAGCAATTCATCTGTAGTTATGAGTTTGCTCTCCAGGTGGGAATGA